AGGCGACGTCATCATGAGGTGGATCCAGGCTAGGCACACATGGCTTCGAATTTTTCCGGGCATTAAGCTCTCAGACGAAAGAACTTCGGTCCTAGTGACAACATGTTAGCTTTACAAGAGCTGTCACTTTGCACGGACCTCAGTCCGGAAGATACATCAACCTGCCCTTGGTGTACAAACTTGCAGGGATGACATCTTCAAACTCAAGATCTTGCGCATGCTTGATCGGAAACTCCGGCTTGACTGGCAAACGTTCTCATACTTCATCACTCCTCCTTGTCACGGGCCCGCGGCTTGTGACACATCTTCATTGCGGCCAGTCAGCTTCAGTTCCGATTCCAGCGAGCCAACCATTCAGACACTGCGGTCCTAGTCGCCAGGTTGACCCACAAGATTTGGGTACCTCCCGCCAGTTGGAAGTGCCTCCAGGTCCACAGAACATAGCGAAGCTGGCGGGTCGTTGGCAAATGAGCCGCTGGGGGCTCAACGCCAAGCTGGCCCCCCAGCCTTCTCGTGAGGTCACTCTTCACACCGCTGACAGGAAGGCCCTCTGAGGCTAAGCCATCGCGCAAGTGCTGGACTGTCATCAGCCCCAAAGCGTCTTGAACAACTCGTTCACGATCGAATTGCCCTGAGCTTGGTGAGGGGGCACAGATTGTCCCCTCTCCGGCAACGGTGGTGTAGCCGGCCTGATTTCACCAAACGTGCTCACCCTCGACTCCCCCGTGTTCATCGGGGCAGTAGGCCTGGTCGTTGTTGTCGGGCTCCTCGGGCTCGACTCGGTTGTAGGACTGGGCAACGGGGTAGTGGTCCTCGGCCTCGTAGATCCGATCGTAGCTGTAGTCGCCATCGTAGTTGCCCTGTCCCGGGCAGCCTGAAGGACCCTCTCACTTGAAGGAGTATCGTCTTCGTCCACCCACTTCTCGATCTCAGCCTCGGCTGCGATCCTTGCGAGTTCCTTCAGCTTGCGGATCTTCCTCTCACGCTTCGACCCAAAGAGCCTCGGGTAGGCCCAGCTGCCTAGCGCCTTTCCTGCTTCCCACAGGGCCACTGCCGAAATACAAGTGAGTATCAGCAGCACAAACAGCTCCATCGTCCCAACCGCCGGCAGAGGTTCCTTTGCCGCCGAAACTGCCAAGGATTGAACCGCCAGTAGCAGCAAAAACATACATCCCAGCTTCATGCATTGCAACACCTTCTTCTCGTCCAAACCTTCAAGGCCTATCATTCCCCAGGTCCCAAGTAGATGTAGCAGCCGCGCCTTGGAATGCAGCTTCGTTGGAAGGTCTGCTGGTTGGTCTTCTCCAGCCAAACGCTGGACATAGAGCTCCCCGCTCTTCACACGGTCCATCACATAGGCATGACGGATTCGTAGGTGTCTCGTCCGCCAGCTTCCGGATGATCCGTTGAGCAAGTTGCTTGCCGCCTGGTTGTCGATATACAGCGCGGGGGTGCTCGTAGCAGGAAGAATCTCTCGCAACATTGCTTCAGTCGACTGTACCAACAAAGCGCAGTTGGATCCTTCGAGCAATTCCGCCTCGCAGACCGACATGGACACTATTGGTTGTTTCCCCGCATTCCATGTCACGGGAGTCTTGCCGATCATCACTAGACTACAGCCGAAACTTTTACCCCCATGTGGGGCATACGACGCATCGCTGTATCCAGACAGATCTACCTTAAACCCCGCATAGTGCCTTGAAGCCTGGACCCCCGTTGTAGCTGCTGTTGTGACTGTTGTGGCTCCGATCTCTGCTGAAGCTGTTGTGGCTGTTGTGGCTCCGATCTCTGCTGAAGCTGTTGTGGCTGTTGTAGCTCCGATCTCTGCTGCAGCTGTTGTGGCTGTTGTGGCTTCGGTCTCTGCTGTAGCTTCGACCTTCAACTTCAAGCCCGCCGTAGCGTTCAGGTAGGACATCACCTTGAGACCGATCTGGTACACCTTAACAGGTCGTTTGGTAGTCATTGCGGCCATGTCGTTCGTGGCGTAGAGGATATCGGGGCGAGTACGGTAGGCCATCCAAAGGCACTCCCCGGTCACCTTCTGGGCCATCATCAGCTCCGAAGAACTGTAGTTCTCCTCCTCAGCCGCCTGATCGTCCTCTTGGATCCATTCCTTGGGACAAGGAAGTCCCGCACTGACATCAACATCCAAACCGTGTAGGCGCACCAGATTGGCCATGTACGCCTCCTGGGACAACGTGAAGAAATCCTTCTCCTGCTTGAGTTCCATCCCCAAATACCTCAGGCCGTCCTTTGCATACTCCAACGGGGAACAGGGCCAAATAGCCCCAATCCTTCCATGTAGTAGCTCAATGACCGGAGTATCAGCCAGGTAGAGGAGGTCGTCCACGTAGGTGACGAGGATGCCCTTCAAGCTCGGTTGGCCACCGTCCTTAGGCTCCTCCAGGATCATCCACAACTCGCTGTCCGTCATCATCTGCTTCAAGTAAATCCGGCCCTTTTCGCTGTCCACTGACAACTCCTTCAGGACTTCTGTCCTGTGGGCCGCCCATAAGGCGGGACTCTCCCGCAGCCCGTAGAGCGCACGCTTCACAATGAACACTACCTCAGGCTCCACCAGGCCCGCTTGCAAAAGGATCTTCGGCGGCAGCACGCCGTAAGTGGGCCTGTTCGTTGGCCATAGCGCCTGCAAGAAAGCCGCAGATACATCCGTAAAACCCCACACTCCAGGACATTGCGACTGCAAGAGCCAGAGCTAGTCGCAGTCCTTCGACGCTTGCGCCGGCCGCGAAGAGGTCGTTCGGGTCGTGCCATTGTCCAGCGTGATTGCCGCATATCACCACCCTGGCTTTGCGCTTCCAGCGTGGCGGCTGTTCCTTGGTGGCTGCTGCCTCTCGCGGGGGCGGCGGCTTGACTGCGCACACAACCTTCCCTGGTATCAGGATAAGCTTCCCCTCGCGCTCGAGCACCCCGGCTTCCGCGATGGGGCGACGCGTCCGTTTTCTCCTCGAGGTTAGCCAATTCCTTCCTCAAGGGGTCGACCCATTTGTCCAGGTTGCGCTTGACCTGGTCGAGCGGGACATCCAGAGTGACATCCAAATCCTTCTTGAGGTTGGCCAAATACTCCTCAATGTCCCCGATCTCCTTGTCGTCATTGACATTGGCGACCTTCAGATACAGGTCGTGGCACTTCTCCTCGGTCTTCTGGATTTGCTCCTCTACATCCTTGATGAGATCACGAACTGCTCCATTGACACCCTCGATCTCCTCATTGACTGCTTCCCCAACAATATGCAGCTCCTCGGCAAGGATCTCCTCCTCAGCTAAGAACTCCCGCAACCATTCGCGCCTCTCCTTGAGACGATTCAACACATCATCCTGTAGTTGCTGTAGTTCTCGACTGACATCCCTTGCCCGCTCACGCTTCTCCTCCTCAATCTCGTTGACCAGGAACATCACCGCCTCGGGTTCATCATTAGTCTTGGTCATCGTCACCATCTTCAACACCGTCTGTTGTAGTTGATCAGGTACACGAGGTGGTAGAGGAGGTGGGTTGAAGCCAAACTCACGGAGTGTCTCATAGGTGTCGGGCTTCATGCTTGTAGTTCTTGGGGTGTAGGCCGTGATCACAAGCCTCGTTGCTGTCCAGGGCTCCGTGGCATGGTACCGCCTGGGGTTGATCTCCAAAGGAACGCCAGGTTGTAGCTCGTGAACTCGACCTCTTTTCCATCCTCCCTTCGGCAGCTCCCGCCACTCATCGTCGCAGCTGTAGGCTTCGGGGGAAGACTCCATCCACACGCCTCCACCTTCTTCGCATTGTGGTAGAGGAAGTAGCCAGTTGCTTCGGGTAGCGTTGTTGTGAACGTCGCGGTGGCACTTCATACCCACATTCTCGGTGAGGAGCAAAGCCGTGAAGTCGTCCCTCCCCGTCATCTCCTTGAAAGCTCGCACCAGTAGGTAGTTGCCACTGGGTGGAGGTACGTGTCGTTCACAATCCCGCATTGACTGGCCAATCAACCATTGGAGGCCTTCTCCTTGGGTGGTTCTTGAGGTTGGTCTGGCCTTGGCCTTGAGATACTTCCACAACTCAATAACATGCTCTGGTTGAAACTGGTTGTTGTCGAGGAACGATTTCGCGAGGTTGTCGATGTCGTTGTTGGGGTCCACGAGGGCCTTGGCCAAAGTGGTTTTTCCTCTAGTCCTCCGTTCTGGTAGTGGAAGTTCAACTTCATGAGGTCCAAGCTGCACCAGATCATCCGAATCCACCAGATAGGGTTTGATGTGGACCGAGGTCGTGTAGGAACCATCTTCATGACGTACCACACGGCCGCCCTTCACATCGTTAGAGTAGCCCACAAACAAGCCCTCCTTCCATCGCTCCAGTAGGTCATATCGACCGCCTTCACCGAAGCGCTTGTACTTCACGTGTGTCGGGGCTCCAAAAGCGAGGTCCTTGTCTTCGTAGTTCCCAAGGCCAAGTCTCTTTGTCGCCTTGCTGCAAACTCAGCTGCCACCGGCCAACACGTAGCTGGGAGGCCCGAGGTCCTGAGTAGGACTTTCACACGGCGCTTGATCTCCCTGACCAATGCCTCCATCCAGCTTCGGGTGTCCTTGGCCTTGAGCTCGTATTCGCACGAGGGGTAACCCATGTTGGCGGAGTTGAAGATAGATGTGCTGGATCTTCGCCCGCACCTCCTTAGATGTGCGGGAAGTCATTGGGACCGCAAAGTTAAGCGTCTGGCACTCAATGTCGTCACCAATGTCCTTGTAGATCCGCTTGAACCTCTCATTGAGGGCCTTCTGCTCTGCATCCTCCTCCTCAGGTGGGGCGTCGATCTTGTCCTCCTCCTCAAAGGGGTCCAACTCCGGCTCGACGTCGTCTTCCTCATCAACCTCAGGCATCTTATGGTCTCTTGGCAGATCCAGCTTTGGATGTGAATAAGCCCCAACCAATAGGTATCGGAACTTCCTGCCCTCTTGGGATTCCTCACGCGTCCTCATAGGGCCGCAGATGTCCAAGGACAACGTATAGGCGCTCGGGGTCAAACATCGTCGATGCGCCCTTCCTGTTGCACTTCCCCGAACACAGGTCTGGCAGCGGCGGTCGTAGGGGATGTGGTTGTTGCGCCCGTGTGTCTCCCAGTAGGCTAAGTCCTTCGCATTGAGTTCCCGAGGGCCCACAATCTTGCATAAGGTAGCCTCATGCCTCCGAAGATCGCTGCGGCGCCAATTGAGAATGGCCTGAGCAATACCAAAGGCACCGGCCAAGAGGATGCTGGGGTTTCATAGTTCAAGCTCATGATGGCCGCCTCCTCAATGTCCATCCCATCCGACAAGCCCAGTGAGGACGCCATGAAGTACAGAATGCCTGGAGTTCCCACTGAGTGGTACTTGAGGAACCGCATCTCGTCCTTGAACTTGATCCATGCAGAGCTCGTCCACAAAGGGTGCCAAGTGGGTGCCTCCAGACAGAAGAACGGCGCACACAATGAGTTGAGGACCGCACCTGAGTTCGCCACCAACCAAACCAGCAGCATTCTCTTGAACAGCATTGGGCCGTGTTCAGCCCCCCTGGGGGGTCCTCCGATAACGCCCTCGATCTGGCCTCTCGCCGCTGCCCAAAGAAGTACTCTCGCCGCCGGTCCATAGGTCTTGAGGTCGTAGGCCTTGGAGTCTCGCACATCCATCCGGATCACCGTCACATCCTCCGACTCGGCCCTGGCAAACTCCTCGCCCTTCTCATCTCCATTGTACAAGTGGACCACCCATCTTGTCCTCAACAACCGCTTCCTCATGGCCCTGTTGATGGGGAGCGACTTCAAGGAGTGATCACCCGCCTCGTCGGACAAGAGGAGGCGATCATCGACGCCAATTAGGCTAACGACCTCCGTTTCGGCCACTGCATCCAACGGAGACTCCTCATCCAGGAGCATCCTCCTCAAGCTAGCCCGCTCACCCTTTTGCACGAACTCCTCCAAGTGATCCAGCCACGCGAGTTGGGACTCTTCGGCAGACATCATCTTGAGGACTCCATCCGTATTGTTCTTCTCCAGCTTGTCGAGCTCCAGCTGCTCCAGGTCCGCAATCAGCTGGAGGGCTTCGGTCTCGCGGAGGACCGGGGTGTTGCCCACCAGCTTCGTTGGCAACAAGCCGTGCTCGGGGTGCGTTATGCGAAGGCCCTTTCGCTTGCTCCAGTCCAGCTTGCATCCCAAGGAACTCACCAGGCTTCCCAAGGGAAGGATTGTTCCACCACTGTCGTCCTCTGCCAACAATGTGCCTCCCTTGGTTTGCCGAAGGAATACATGGCGTCCATCAGCAAGCTGCACCTTGACCTGCTTCGCCTCCTTGGCCTCCTCAAGCGTCTTGGGGGCCCTGTAGGCATGCGATGCCCCACTGACCAGCAAAGCCATGCCATGGCTCTCTCCGAGGCCTTGGGAGCGTAGCAAGAGCTCCAAGTCCACCACTGCATTGTCTGTGACCGCCTGCAAAGGTGCGAGCCTCTTGATCTTCGCAAGGAACTGCTCCGCCAGCTCCCTGATCTCCTCACTGTTGTTCTGCTCAGAGAGCAACACCGTAGACGCCGCAGAGGAGGAACCACTAGACCCAGACGCAGGCTGCGTGGATGTAGGTCCCACGGTAGTAGATGACGTCATCACCTGAGCGTGCGTAGGCGAAGGGTTCTCAAGCGTAGAAGAGGTTGCTGAGGTAGAGGCCGTCGGAGGGATAATCGTTGAGGGCTGGGGGTTGTTCAGGGTCGCAACCTGTGCCGTTGGGGTAGCGGCCGTTGAATCCCCAGGAACTCGACGGTCACCACTTTTCTTCGAGCCCTTTTTTCCCGGACTTGGTCGGGCAATCCTGCTGCCTGTGGTTGATGCTGCCATACGTCCAACATCTCGCCTTCTTGTCCTCCTTCGAAGCAAAGTTGTGGGCGTACTTGCAGTTTGAACCCCTCCGGCATCCTTCGTCTGTGGCCCAAAACTTGCAAGGTGACTGCTGTTTCTGGCCCTTGCCCGTTGGAGATGTAGTCGCTGAAGAGGGCGCGTTGTGGTCGGTGGTCACACCCTTGAGTTTGGCCCCCTGGTCCTTGCCATACGGTATCACCTGCTGGAGCTCCACAATGACATGGTCAGCATACGTCAACACCGAAGACAAGGCCGGTTTGTAAGGAAGGCTGAGTTCGCTCTTGGCCATGTTCAGCTTGAAGTTGACATCCTTCGGGCTTGATGGCTGCCTCGACGGCCACAAGCAGCACGCTCCCATCGGGAAGCGACACTCCCATCTCAGCCGCCCTTCCAATCAACTTCTTCCACCGCCGAAGAGCAGCGATCATGTCGATAATGTTGTTCTGGGGTTGGATGTACTCCAGCTGCTTGATCAGGCTAGCCCGTTCACTTGCTCCACCCGGGGCATAGATCGTGTACAGCTTGAACAGACAATGTTTCACCCGATCAATGCGCAACATGGTGATCTCGGCCTTGACACTGGAGCTCATAGAGGCCAAAAGGAGTGCCATCACCCTCTTCTCCAGCCTGGCCCATTTTTCCCCATCCACAGCATCATCATTGCCCACCACAGTGGACAAGCGCTTGAGCGGCGACTCATTCTGGAACTTGTAGTACGCCTCCTTCGCCAACTCAAGGTTGTTGTTCCACCAGCTCGTCGCCTTGTCCGTGATCGACCCCACCAGCTGCCCCGTTTCATAAATCCACTCCAAGAACAACACCGCACTGGAATGCCTTGGGCGAGAAGGCCCATGTGAGCCGCTGGGCGCTTATCGTCTTGGTCCGGTCCGGGACGGTCGCATCAACCCTTCTCGACGAAGCGGAACCAGAAGCCCCATCCGGTCTTCCTGTGACACCATCGAAGTCACCACCTTCAGGTCTAGCTGCTGGCATACTCACGTCCCCAAACCCTTGAACTTGCCCTCCACGGTGCCCACCTTGATCACCAGGAATCCGACCTCCGACTTCAGATTCAGCACGGGGATCCCCTTGTTCTGGTAGAGGTTGCCTCTCAGCTGGCCCATGTGCTCCTCCTTGTCCCATCGGAGTGCCACGGTTGCCTTCCACTCCTCCCGTGTTTGGGCTGGCTTCAATCATCGCAATGCGGAGCTACTTCAGCTCCGCATTTTCAGCTTGCAATTCATTCACCTTGGTGTTTCGGCTCTGCATTGCTTGCTGCACAGCCTTCCGCACCTCCTCCTGCACGACCTCTGGCTGCAAGGACCCCGTCGAAGACTGGTCCCCTGGATGGTCGCCTGGGCTTGCTGCTCCTACTCGAGGTTGTTGTTCAGGTAGTCGAGGAGCTTCGGGGGCATTGAACGTCGGGGTTGCCAAGGACCATGTCGGGGACTGGGAGTACCAGCAGGTAGGTGAAGCCGAGGGTAGAGGCCGCACAAACTCCAATCCCCGTTGAAGCATTCCCCGTATCCTCGTGAACCAAACCATCTGGTCACCATTGGCATCCGCAACCTCACCCATCTCAACTGCAGCAGTGTTGTTGTTCCCATCCATAGCCTCAGCTCTCACGAACCTTGAAGCCCTAGCATGAAGAGCAACCAAAGCATTGGCACCCTCGGGCAGGTACTGCGCTGTCGCTTCCGGGCTCGGTGCTGGTTGTTGTGGTGGTGTGCTGATGTTGTACTGCTGAGGCTGGGCTGCAGTGATGTGCTGGGGTTGCTGCTGACCTGGCCTGCTACGAATCCCCATAGTCTCACCCTGAAACCTCCGTACGTTCGCGTCCGATCCGGCAAAAACTCCTGTAGCCGGCCCAGTGGTTGCCTCCAACTGTCGTGTCGTGCCCATAGCGCCAGATCCAGTTGCTGTGTCCTGAGCCGATCCAGTAGTCGCATCCGCACGCTGCCCAGTGTTCGCGCCAGATCCGGTTGCTACGTTCTGAGCCGACCCAGTGGTCGCTTCCACACGCTGTCCAACGTTCACCGCGCCAGATGCAGCTGTAGGTTCCACCCTAGGCCTGCTCGAGGTCGAAGAAGACGTGCGAGGAGGCAGTCCACTGCCCCTTGGCTGCTCCAAAACTTCCGAACCCGTCGTGACAGCTCTGCTTCCTGGAGCAATCGGATTTTGAGAACCGACCACCCCATTCAGCAAAGACTGCCTTTCGGCCATAATTCGATTCCTGGCCCTGCCTCCCTCCAGTGCAGGATCGCCGGCTCCACCAGCTTCCACGCCACCATAGTTCGGCACCTGGGCCGCCATGTTGCCTTGTTCTGGCCCACCAGGCGTAATGCTTGGGCTCATAACCTGTGGAGCACTGGAATCCGGGTTGTGCTGGTA